TATTTTAGTTTATATATTTCGTTCCTGCTAGAACCTATTCAAATGTTTTATAATAACTAATTAGTAAAATTATTTGATTCATACATCATATTGAATACTCTAACAAACCCGAAAACAGCTGACATGTTTTTATTTCACTATAAACTTTATGTCAATAATGGTCACTATGAAATGGGCGTATATTTAAATAGAAAATTATTTATTTTGTCAGCTGCAATCAACTTTTTCAAATGGATATAAGGCCGCGTTTGCACCACAACTAAAAAACCGTTGTGTTAAAAATGGGGTTGGTACTTTTATAACGCATTCGATATAATTAATTAGAAGTATAAAATGAGCTGCTAGAATACGAAATAAAAAGCAAAGGCATTCTGGGTACATACATATCGTCTGAATCAACAAAGGATTTTTTTATTCTTTTTGAATTCCTATAAGAAGATTTGGCGACTATTGGAAATTGTGATTCATGAAATAATAGTTCAAGAAACCAATATGAGGTTAGCGATAACACCTGTACAAAGACTGGCTGCTAAATAATAGTAAGAAGATTCTTGAAGTCTGTTCTACTTAACACCCAACGTCCAGCGGAGAAAAGACAAGACTGACTTAAAAAGCATCGCCTTTTTAAAACGCCAACTTGTCATATAACTGGAATATTACGTTTTTTCTATTTTAATTCTTTATCCTATATCAAAAAAGCGCTCGTGTGAATAAAGGCTAAATATATTTTTAAAAACGTTTTAAACTACGTGGTTAATATTTAGAATTGGTAACTATACGAGTAGCATTGTTTATTTGTACACGGTTGAATCAAGCTACACACACTTTTCGATTTTAACGTGATATTCTAATAGAAAAACAATGAATAAATTCATAAATTTCAGTTAGGATATGTACATTCCAATCGTATATGTAACATGAATTACTTACAGCTTCTTGTATATAATCAAATTTAGTATTCTGTATAATTGAATTTCATGAACTAGTGAAGACACAATGTGAAGACTGACACTTAAAAAAATCAATTCAACACATTTTTATATACTTAAATAGAGTTTATAAATAGGATTTAATCCCTTATTAAATAATATAGCTTTAAAATCTGAAATTTATTTCATATTATTATAAAAGGGCTTTATATTTTTTAAGTGACAGTTTTAGTCTAAATTTATCCAAAAATAAATAATAAATATACATTATATAGGATTAACTCAGTTCTATTGAGGGTCACATCACCAAAATCTAATATTATAAAAACTAATATTTTTTTTAACTCACAAATTACATTACACAATTCCGTGTACTCGTCGTTCTTATTCCGCCTGTATGTTACTTATTCACTCAATACACACAGTATACACCGCTGAAACCAAGTCTCAGTTACGGCAAACCAAAATTACTTCTCTACCTAATGAATTCCGAATATTCCGGAACTCATAGAGTAAACAGTCTGAGACAGAGTGGTGTTTATACTGCAATCCATTACCATAATTAACTGCAAACGTTACCTTGCAGCGGTGACAAATTCAAACATTGCAATATCGGTGAAAATGTGCAAATAACTGTATACTAACCAAACTATTAATAGCCTCCAAAGGCGCTTACTTACTATTTGTCATTATACCTTAAGTGTAGTATTATTACTTAGTAACACAACGTATCAGTACTTAAGATGAAGCCAACATAGTTATTTATGTTATATAATTATCTTTAAATATTTTAATATGAATTTTATTAGTTATTTATTTCAGATATTTTGATAGTACTTTTTAATTAAAAACAGTAATAAAGCCGAATTAAGTCCTAAATGAATAAATAACAAAAAAAAATCAATTTATCCTTAAAGTATTCAAACAAAATTACAGTTGATTTATTTATTTATAATTTTTGGTCATATAATTCTATTTATTTTTGTTATTTGAATATAAAAGAAAAAATATTTTTAATAGTCACTACAGTGATACTTTCTAATTACATATGAAGGGCAATGTTAAATCACTTACGATTTAAATTTTTATGTTATATAAGTCCTATATCAAACAAAGATCACGGAATATGTGCAATTAAATTGAAGAAAGTTTTAATGAATGTTTGATCGGAAATTGAGTAAATAAACCACGACAACGTTCGCTATTACAGTATTTGATTTCTAAACTTTGCACAAAATAATTTTAATGTAGTCAATTATAAATAAGCTATCTTTACAACTTTACCATAAAAGTATTTGATGAAATTCTTTTTGCTACGTAAATATTATTACAATGATATAAATTGTATGACGGAAAAATTACTGCACATTAATATACGGTAATTAAGTCGAAACATGTACATAAATATGCAACTGAAAATTGTGTTTTTATTAGCTGTGACAACACATATATTTGCAGTAATTAGATGAGTCGAGTTCTTGACATGGTTAAAACTGCTTACGGTGGCTGCATTGCAAGTTTCAAGCAAATTTACAAGCAGGTCATAAGCTTACAGAAAAATGTTGTTGAGTTTTTCAAGTAATCGTTATTCCTACTTCTCGTAACGAACTTAAAATACCTCAAAATGACGAGCCCGCTATTTATTTTTTCAACATTTTAGGCAACATAGTCTTGATCTGATCGGCGAAACGCTGTAACAAAAATCATAAAACAACTATTGATTTGTGCAACTTGTATCGGGTTAACACACGACACTAGATGTCCCACTGAACCGATTTTGCTTAATCAACATTCGAATTGGAACTATTCGAAGTGATTGAAGCGAGAACTCGAGTTGACGAGCAATCTTCCAGTAATATCCTTCGTGGGAACTCAATTACAATATGCTCATGCTTTAATTTGTTCGCGTAGTGCTTACTTTAGCTTCTGCCTTTGTTAAGATTTGGATAACGTCATTGTTTTGTGAATGAAAGTTTACTTATAATCTAAAATAGAAAGGCTTCAAGCCTTTTATATATTGTTTTACTAGTTTGGATAAACTTATTTATGTTATTGGTATACGTTTTATTTATCTTAATAAATTTTGATTATGCTTTTGTTTATTTAATTTAATCATAAATTTCGTGATTACTTGCTCAAATAACAAATTTATAAGTTTGAGTTTCAAAGAAAATTTAATCTGATTTTCAAACAAAACTAGTTAAAACATTCTTTCTATAGTAAGCAAATTCGAGCGCATATTCAGTAATTATTAAAAGGAGATAAAAAAAAATCTAATAATTGTGTTAGAGTAATCTAGTCGATGTTATTGCTTAACGATTATTCTTTTTTACTATATTACGCGGTTTACGAGTCTTGAAAAAATATTTATAACATTATATTATTTTCACGTAAGTATACGTAAAACACAATCATTTTCGTTGAATTGTGTTTTTTTTGTTTATTAGAAAGTGTTGACAAATCCTTCCTTATTTTAAAATCCAAAAAGAGAATATTTTCTTTTATTTAAAGTACGAGTGAGTTATATGACATAAATAATAATCTTTTGTATTTAAATCTAAATTTACATGAAGGTAACGGCCAATGTAAGTTACAAATATTAAAATACAAAAACAAAGGGATGTTTTTAACTTTAAGAGTCAAAGGATAAGTATCAAAAGATTAATATTACAAAAAATACCATGTAATATTTGAGTTGAAGTAATATTTACTTGAACAGAGTAATTTCAGGTAATAGGAAACCAAAACGAATACCAGATTTAAAATTCTTTAACGAACTGATAAAGTAAATAGACCGAGTAAATTTCATAAGTTTGTAGCTAGATAGTCGTGTTAGTGAATTTTCATCAATAGCCCAAGCACGTTTCCTCAAACATTGTCGTAGGCTCTAGATGTAGAAAAAACACGGACAACTTTTCCAAAAGTGGGTAAAGTCATTTATCAAGCAAGCTCTGAGAACTCTTGACGTCCAAAAGTTTTATACAGGATACCGAGCCAGAAGACATTAATATTAAGGATATCACACTACTTGAAGTGTTTTTAGGATGTCTTGGTGTTTTATCACTTAAGTGAGGAAATTTTCCTTTTCATATAATTTAGTTTTTGTAGGTTTCCGTAGTAGAAAAAAGAGACGCCTAAAGAGGTGGTTTAAATAGTTGAGTATCAAAAAATTTTATACCTAACATTTTGACGTAAGTTAGTACTAGATGTTTCTTTGCTGAACATATCGAATACCAACTTCGAGACCCTAAACGGCAAAACGTGTCAAAAGAGGAAATTAAATTATCAACTCCCACTATCATCTCACCTTTTCAAACCAATACGAGATAATGGAATTTGAAACCCGAGTTCGACAGCCTCTATTTCAAAATTCTCTACATAGGTCCGTTACTTTAGAACAAAATATGTGAAGGGGCACACGACATCAAATAAGCTTTATTTGGTAGCCTAACCAAAATTTGTGTCTAGGGAATGCAATAAGAGGTGACAGAAAGATTAAAGGGTTCTCAAAAATACCTTTACACTATTTTGTCCTAGAATGTTTCTATATTTAAAGTAAAATATTAAGTTGTAATATTAAAATATAATATTAAATACTAAGACAAATGTATAACATTAAAAACAAAATAATTAGCGTTTATTTAAATATATTTAACTTATAATTATTACTATAAATAAAAAAATAAGTAACTCATTGTAAAATATTCCTCTGGTTGCTCTATATAGTAAAGATTATATAATTGTAAGAGAGGCCGGTCGCGCAAGTGGCGCCATGCAACGTGTAACTATGAGGGGAAGATACGGTGGGGAGGCGAACATTCAGAGGGGCGGCTCAGAGCATACCATTTTCGCTCGCTACTACTGATGTCGAATCGCCTCGTCAGTTGGACTCCAGCCGTTATAAGGATGGCACGCGCTCGCGTGGACATTGTCGATGTAATACGTATATCGCAACGTAAACATTTACTGCTAAAGTGAACAAAGCGGATTGATTAATTATATGTTGTGTTTTAAATATATTAAGTGAATCTTTAAAATTAATAAGTGATCAGGAACAAATGTGTGAAGAAAATGTTTCATCTGCTAACTTTATTGCTAGTGATTTCGGGTGTAGTTGCCGCGCTAGTTACAAAAGGCTTAGATAATTGTAAAAAGGAATACAATGGGGAAAATGAAATAACTGTGTGTCACGTGAGAACTCTTGAGTCCAATGGATCGAATCTTGTATTGGCTTCCTCAGAAAGTACAAAAAGTTTATCAATTGAGTGTAACCAATTGTTACTCTTTGAAAGTTACATTGAATCGAACTATTTTCAAAGATTTGTGAATTTAGAAGAATTAACAATACGAAACTGTAAAATTATTCGTATACCGGGAAATGCGTTTGAGGGATTACGAAAAATAAAAAAAATATCTATTCGCTCAAAAAATAGAGAATGGAGCCCGAATAAATATCTGGAACTTTCACTTGGCACGTTTAACGGATTGCGGGAACTCCAATTGCTTGATTTGGGGAAAAATAACTTAAAAAATATACCATCAGAAATCTTCTGCCCCTTGGAAAACTTACAAACATTAAATTTGACAAACAATAGAATGAAAAGTATTGACCGTCTCGGATTTGGGAAAAGCTGTGGGACTGGCTTAAGAAGTTTAGATATAAGCCAAAATGAACTGAAATCTCTTAGTGAAGAATCAGAAATATCAGGACTTCGGCATCTTCAAGAATTGAAACTGCAACATAATAATATTTCGGATATTTCAGATGAAATATTCAATGGATTAATCTCATTACGTATTTTAAATATATCTTATAACAACCTGCAGTTAATACCCGAGGGCATATTCGCCAACACGAAGGAGTTGAGAGAAATATATCTAAATAATAACCAGTTATTTGAATTAGCTAGAGGGGTTTTTCATCGATTAGAACAGCTGCTTGTGTTAGATTTATCGAATAATCAGCTTTCAAGTGCACACATTGATGGTGGGACGTTTATTAGTCTTATTCGCTTAGTCATTTTGAATCTATCCAATAATGCCTTGACAAGGATAGATGGTAAGACATTTAAGGACTTATTCTTTTTACAAATATTAGATCTGAAAAACAACTCTATAGGTTATATTGAAGAGAACACCTTCCTTCCTTTATATAATTTGCACACTTTAAATTTAGCCGAAAACAGATTACATACAATTGATGAGTACCTGTTTAACGGATTATTTGTTCTTAGTAAATTAAATTTAAATAATAATTTACTTATAAGTATAGATTCTAAAGCATTTAAAAACTGTTCCGATTTAAAAGAATTAGATTTAAGTTCTAACCAATTAACAGATGTCCCTAATGCTATATGGGAATTATCTCTTTTAAAAACTCTTGATTTAGGAGAAAACCAGATATCTGATATAAAAAATGGATCATTTAAAAATCTAGATCAACTTACTGGCTTGAGGTTGATTGACAACCAAATTGGAAATCTTAGTGTTGGTATGTTTTGGGATTTGCCAAATCTTCAAGTTTTAAACCTTGCAAAAAATAAAATACAATCAATAGAAAGGAGAAGTTTTGAGCGCAACAAGCAATTGGAAGCTATTCGATTAGATGGAAATTTTATATCAGATATAAATGGCGTATTTGCAACCTTGTTAAGTTTACTTTGGCTTAATTTATCTGAGAACCATTTAGTTTGGTTCGATTATGCTTTTATACCGAGTAATCTGAAGTGGTTAGATGTGCATGGAAATTTTATTGAATATTTAGGTAACTATTATAAAATTCAGGATGAAATTCGCATAAAAACCTTAGACGTAAGCCATAACCGAATTCTTGAAATTTCTCCGTTAGCAATCCCTAATAGTGTTGAATTGTTATTTATAAACAATAATCACATAAACAATATCCAAGTTAATACATTTATGGAGAAACGCAATCTTACTAGAGTTGATATTTACGCAAATGAGATATCACATTTAGATATCAACAGCCTCCGGTTATCACCGTTCCCCTTAAACAAGTCGCTGCCGGAATTCTATGTTGGAGGAAATCCGTTTGATTGCGATTGTTCAATGGAATGGTTGCCTCTAATTAATAATATGACTTCAACAAGACAATACCCAAGAATAATGGATCTCGAAAATGTCCTTTGCAAAATGACACATACGAGAGGTGTTTCTCATATTCCTTTAAGTACTTTAAAATCCACAGATTTTTTGTGCACATATGAAACACATTGTTTTACACTATGTCATTGTTGTGATTATGTAGCTTGTGATTGTCAAATGACTTGTCCTAATAACTGTTCTTGTTACCACGACCCAACTTGGCACACAAATGTAGTTGATTGTTCTAGCCAAACAGTTTCTGAAATACCCGATAAAATACCTATGGACGCAACCGAGGTTTATTTAGATGGAAATAACTTTAAAGAATTGCAGAATTATGCGTTTATAGGCAGAAAAAACATGAGATCACTTTATGTAAATTCAAGTGAAATTGAAAATATTCATAATAGAACATTCGCTGGCTTATCTTCCCTTGTCATATTGAACCTGGCAAATAATAAGTTGAGTCATCTTTATGGCTACGAATTCGAACATTTGACACAACTGAAAGAACTGTATTTACAAAACAATTTCATTAGTTATATTAAAAATACAACGTTTTCGATGCTAATGTCTTTGAAAATATTGAGACTAGATGGAAATAGGTTAGTTGATTTTTCCATTTGGGATTTAACTATTAATAAAAAACTGCATAGCATTGCAATAGGTAATAATATGTGGTCTTGTAAATGTAGATATTTACAAAAATTTACAGCTTATATTGCTGAAAACGTTCTTAAAATATCAGATATTTCTGACGTATGGTGTTCAAATGTAGGTAACAAATATCCTCAAAAAAAGGAATTAAATATTAACGGCACCATTTGTAGTGATTATTATTCCAGTGATTCAGGAATAAATAACCTAATAATTTATAACTACATTCCTATGATAGTAACTTCATTTACAGGATTTTTGCTCATTCTACTTACCATGCTTATTTTATTTCTGTTTAGAGATACAATTCGGTTATGGTTTTATACGAATTGCGGATTGCGATTTTTTCCATTCATTGGAGCTTATGATGGCACAGATAAGTTATATGATGGATATATATTATATAGTCCCAAAGATGATGACTTCGTCATACAAACATTAGCCGGAGAGTTAGAAAATGGAAATCCACAATACCACCTATGTTTACATTATCGCGATATACCTCAACACGGTGCTGCTTATATGCAGTACACTTTACCACTTCCGGAAGCTGCGAAAGCCTCTAAGAGAATTATTCTTATATTAACAAGAAATTTCCTAGAAACTGAATGGTCTCGTTTTGAATTCAGACAATCTTTACATGATATACTCAAATCTCGAATTTATACTTTAATTATAATTCAAGAAACTTCCATTTTAACTGACGCAGAATGTGACCCTGACTTAAGACCATATATAAAAACATGTTTGAGAATAAAATGGGGGCAAAATAAATTTTGGGATAAATTGAAATACGCCATGCCGGATAAAAAATACAAATCTAAATCATCAAGCTACCGAAGTAATATAAATTCATTCACTATGAGAGGCGGTATGCAAAATGGAACGATGCGTTCGTTTTCTTTTACAGAAAAAATAAAAGAACCAAGTGACGTTGTTTCTGCTACACCTGAGTATATGGAAAGTCGATCGCATCATCCCAACTCTGCATATTCAACAGATGGTAGGCCGCCATCTGATCATATTTATTCGTCAATAGATTCAGATTACTCATCTTTAGAATTAGGTGGGAATAATCCGGGTAGAAGACGCGAGTTCAGACACTGGCCTCCTCCTCCTCCTTTAATTGATACACAATATTCAGGCCAAGCTTATCTTGTCTAGTCTACGCTTCTTTGTGTGCATAAAATATTTTAGTCAAAGCTTCTTGTGTACATTGTAACTAATCGCGCTTACCAAATAATTAAGATTTGAATCTATTTTTGTAATTTCTAGCTATGTTGGTGTAAATAAATTCTATAAGACTGCTGTAGTATATGTGAATTTGTATATAGAATGTAAATAAATGTCCATATTAAGTCACAGTATACCTATTTATATACTTTAATAAAGCCATTGTGATAATTTTTGCATATATTATTTTCTTTTTTATTTCCTTTCCTACACTGAATAAATGCTGTTAAACTCCGAGTATATCATTAATTATATAAAAAAATAATTTTTATTTCCTATAATAAAGGATCATTAAATATTTGCTGTTTGCTTTATTTGAACTTTTAATACACCACATTAATTGATAATTTACCTAACCTGAATATATGTTATCAAATAATAGCAAAGATGATTTTGAGCTGTATATAAGATATCTTTTATGTTGAAATATTAAAGAAGAAAAACCACCTAAATCCACAAGAGAATGACAGCACAGAACGTGATCAGACTACGGTCAGCTAAGCCGAAGCAGTTCATATCATAATCACAAGGTAAGGGCGCTCGTTGAATTTTAAACAAAAACTTTTATCAATTTACAAAGGAACCGCGCTATCTTAAATGTAATATAAATAATGGTATTCGTAAATGAGCAAAGTGCTTTAAACCATTATTAGGACTTATGAATTCGTGGTTACTACTTTCTTGTAAAATATGATAATATTCACAAAGTATGAAACATCTTTATTAATCAAAGAAAATCTACTTATTTATAAATAATTTATTCTTAAATGTAACCACTATTTTATGTCTTTCCAACGAATTTTAAGTCACAAAAGTAGCAGTCTCGTTCTTACGAGACCATAGTCATCCGACCTATATATTTAATGGAATCTTAATTGAAGCATCCCTAGAACAGCAACGGACAATATTATTTGCATTGATATATATATGAGAACGGTAATACTACTGTGAACTAACTAATCCGCTTACATAAATCAGTTTACGTTAAACTTAAACATAATTCCTCTAACTTTTAATTAACGTTTCACAATTTACAAAATTTATGAATGATAATATTTACATTAGAACAAAGATAATACTTATGATATAATTTTTAAATTGAAAAATAACGATGATTATATTATATCCAAAATAAATTTAAAATCCTAAGCAACTATTTGTTAAGAACCTTATTTTAGAAGAGAGATAAAAGTAATAAAATATTTAGTTATAACATTCTTGTTGCCAAAATATAAGTAGCAATAAAGGTCACTAAAGGTCATTGTTCTCAAGAATAGAATGCATACTAGTACTTTATAAAAAAAATACTTTATTATTTCTAGCTTAAGCACTGGCAAACCACTTCATATTATACCCAAACGAAAATTGCGAAATATTTCATATACCTGCATACAGATCAACTAAAAACAAAACGAATTCAGATGTTTTTTCATACTTAGGTTAAACGCGTAGAAATGGGCATCTACATATAAAATTTAGCATACATATGTATCAATATCAATGGGATATCATCGTCGCTCTGTAATATAACGAAGATCCATAATTGATCTCAATTCAAATAAACTCTCATATACTTATTACGAAAGCAATTCATCAAGCCTTCATTCATTGGTTACTTTTAATAACCTCTACAATTACACAATGAACCAACACTTCATTAAATTGTCACTCACACGGTAATGAAGCTTCTTTTTAAAGTAATCGACCTCGTTACGTAATAATATATTCGTATCTCACGTCTCATTGTTGTGTAAAAATAGAAATCAATTTAATGTTTGTGTAAGACTTCATTAAATTTCATTTAACTTGGAGAATAATTTATTTATATTCACAAAACGGTTGAGTGACAGTCATGTATTTTATAAACGCACATAATGAACTAATGTCTCCAAAGTTATAAAGTGTTACTTAAAATTATAATAAAAACTGTTTCTCACAACCACAGCTTTTATCAGCGTAGACGTTTCTCGGAACTTCATAATATTTAAAAGCACATTCTTAATGTTCAACCTTACACAGTAATAAAAACTCTAAAATATGTAACCATGATGACCTCACGGGCAAATGGATAATTTTGTGACATAAAAATGGGTCATATCACGGAATAGGGTGCCTTTTGTTTGCCCTGTGTCAATTTCTTTGTTTGACTGAGGGAGAGTTTACCGTTGTACCTGGAAAGGAGAAGTAATAAATTTCAAAAGTGTGGACAGACCTTTACGGATAAGATGTTAACTTTTATCTTTTATGAGTAAATTAAAATTTTAAAACACGTTCTCCAGGCACATGTGTAATGTATGCAGGTAAGAATGAAATTAAGGTATTGTAATAAATATACTCGAATATAATATTGAATCTGCATAAAGTGTAAAAAAATATCAAATACAATAAGTAAAACCATAATGGCTAAAGTAAATAATTTAATGTGTGTAATGAAATGCACCTACAGGTTGAAAATTCCTAATTAAAATAATTAATGTAACTAAAACAATGTTTGCCAACATTTACTGGTAATTTCAGCTTAATTACTATAATATCACTCATTTTTTTTTTTTCAGGAAGACCAATTACTTTAAATCACACTTTGTTGAACAAGTGAAGTGGCATATTTAACATTGAATTTTACTCATTCAAATTTATTAGCTTGCCTTATAAAAATATTTTACTTTCAGATCATTGCACATTATTCAAATGTTGCCGCAAAGCGATTTCTCTAAAAAAAACTCAAATGAAATTTAAAATTTTCATCAAAGGCCCTAATCGTATTTTAATCATCATTTTAGTCTATATGCTTTCATTAATTGCTGAATTTAAATAATCTTCTTTTTTTATTTTGGGTATAGCAGAATGAATAAGATAAATTCATTTTACTTCGGAATTATTATTGTAGCTGCTTTGAGTAAGACAGAGGCTTTGTTACAATTTTCTAAGGCACAGATTAAAAGTACTAGATATGATAGATAGTAACATAAGGTACAAACTCAAATACATCAGCTGTTTTTATAAGTGGGCAGGGTTGTTTGCAATTCTTTTGAGATGGGTTCTCAAAAGAGAACTGTCAACAAAAGATTATTATTGCAAGTGTCTCGGCTTGTATAAACACGTTTGACAAATTGAGCTCTGATCTGAAGGTAGGGATAAACCGACGAGAAATTGGTAGCTATTCATATTTTAAATAGTTGTATAATGTTTTTATTTATAATATAAATCTAAATTGTTTCCAAAACAAACGTTCGCAAGTTATCAAAAATACTTGTAAGAATTAGACAAATTAAAATATTATGAAAGAGAGCAGGCAACTGACAAACAGTAATTTAATTATTCATTTGATATTTTTTCTATTCTTCTTCTAATGAATTCCTTTATTTTGTAACAATAGTCAAAGAAATGACTCAGATCTCTTTATTCGAAGTTATCGTGTGAAAATCATCAAAACTACTCTAGCAGTGTGGGACGGACGAGGCATGTAATTTAATACTTTCTACCGCAATAAACGTAGCATTTACAAAAATAATTACACGGTCGCTGCTTATCTGACTGACTTCTTTGACAGCTCAATATTCATTTAGCGAAACATTTGAATTATAAACATTGATATAATGTGTATGTGTTCAATATCATTACTATATAATTAAATATCCCTATTCAGTATCATATACTCCAATTATTTTTTTATTAACATATAATCTTTTCTATTGCAGGTTGGATTAATTCAAAATTATGTTTCCCCGTGAAATATATTTACGTTGTCAACTATGTCATTGTAGAATGTTTTGATATACTTTGCAAAATAATCGTTTATTCGCTGAATAAGTAGAATATAAAACAAGGTTACATTTTTTATGCAAAGTATGGGTATTCCGGCAACATTAGACGGCTAAAAACAGTCAAGTATGACATAATATATAATCAGTTAGCAGGGAAGACACAAAACAAACGTAACAGGGAGCTTAAAAATGCATATTTCGTGGGCTGTTTATGTAAATTAATTCATAATAAATATTTTGATTCCATGCTAACGAGTAGTTGAAGTCGGACGACGCTCGTTCGACACTCGTTAGGGCTGAATGCGACGTCGCATTATCATAATACTGTTATTTATTGCAAAGGCATATTATTTTGTATTTAATGTTTTGAATTATTGTTTAATATATAGGATTGTAAGGGGTATGCCATAGGGATATTCAGGTTTTTGTCTGTTTTTGTTTTCTTAGGTAAACTTGAAATTAGTATTTATAATATTCATTGATTATTAACTTTGTTGTATACTAATTAATATTCATGTTTTCTTTATCAAATAAATTTTCAAAATAACTAGCATTAAGATAACATAGGCTACAAGGTTTAGTTTTACGGAGCTGATTGTTAAAAGTTAGTAAATTTCTAATACCAACCAGCTATTATATTGGGAAGGGCGAAGACAATAATTACTACGTCAGCTCAAGGTATTTAGAATACTATTGTTAGTTCAGTTTATGTTTTGATAATAATTAATCGAAAAGTCTCGAAGGTTTTATTAATAAGTATGTCTTTATGATGAAATTTATACATTAAAATAGCGTAATGAAAAAATCAGTCTGTTATATAATATACATATAAACATCAGCTTTAAAAAATGTTTTTATTGTACAAGTGAAAAGTCTATCCATCTCAAAAAGTTTTTTGAGACCATTGTTTCGATACAATATTGAATATAAAACTTCACTACTTCAAGTTGAAAATGGTATTCAATAAAAATATTATACTACTGTATGTACTAGTTTTTCGTTTTTTTTTTATGAAAAATTTACTCTTTTATAGGTTAATTTATTTTAACTTTCCTACAAAATAAAATAACCTACCCTATAAGGTGTATATCAAGAAGAATATCTGTCAGCCATATCGATCCTTAATGTCCGGCGGCATCAATCATGCTGTTCAAACATCAGACCCAT